CCCCCCCCATTCAGGCTTTGCTTGGACATTGGGGAGAGATCCCAGGCAGAAGCAGCTCAATGGGAGGTGGGTCAGGGGTGTGAGGCGGGTCCCCAGGGGCTCTCCCCTAGGGCAGGACTTGCCCAGGATGTTGAGGAATTCCAGATCTCCAACCTGGGGTCTCAGTTGGTTTAACCAGCCTCCTGTTCCTGGACAGGTCCCAGGGCTCTGCCCAGACAGCCTTTCAGTGGGCACCTACTGTGTGCCAAGTGCTGGGGCTACCCAGAGCAATGGATGGCCCCTGCCTGCCCATGAGCTGGAGCATCTGCCCAGTGACTCTGGGAGGAGGCATCGTGGCAGCTGGTTCGCAGCGATCGCGGAGGGCCGCCTGGCGTCTGTTCCTCCACAGGAGAGAAATGACCCCACTTGCTTTGTTCTCTGTGTTCTTTCCCAGGGAGTTATGTGTGTTCCCTGGGCCAGCTGGGAGGCAGGACCGGCTGCCGAGCCTGTCTTGATTCTTTGGCCCAGCCCCCTGCCCCAGCCCCCCTGATTTAGGGTGGGCCATGATGCCAGAGGGGAGCAGGGCTGGGCAAGTTGAAGGCATGTCTTGCTACTTTTTTAGAAAATATAATAGTAAAATATATATAACACAAAATTTAACATCTTAACCGTTTTTAAATGCACAGTTCAGTAGCATTAAGTACATTCACATTGTGCAACCATCACCGCCATCCATCTCCAGGACTTACTCATCCGCCCATTTCACAGGTGAAGAGACTGAGGCTGAGAGGAGAAGGGACTTACCCAAGGTCACCGGCGAGTTAGAGGTGGAGCAGGAGCTCTGAGGACAGCCCTGGATCCAGGCTCCTCTGAGTCCTTTGCTGACCTGCCCCTTCCCACTTGCTGAGTTAGGAACCCATGTGAGATATGCAAGCAACCCAGAGATGCAGGAGCTAACACTGGCCTGTGGGTTCACCCGGAGCCACTGCGGGAGGCGTCGCAGCATTTTTGGTTCTTACATCCACCCCTGACTCTGAAGGTGCCTGTTTCTCCTCCCCTACAGACCTGGGATGAAGAGCTGGCGAAGTCTGCGGCGGCCTGGGCCCACGAGTGCATCTGGGAGCATGGGCCTACCAGTCTGCTGGTGTCCATTGGGCAGAACCTGGCCGTCCACTGGGGCAGGTAAGACTGAGGTGGTCCCCCCCTTACTTGTGAATTGGCCACCAGGGCTGAGCACCTACTGTGTGCCTGGCTTGGTGCTTGCTGTCCATTATCGAATGTAGCCCTCATGATCACCCACTAAGAGAGAGAGAGAGAGACCACCTGTGTCATTTACGGGCGGGGAAACGGAGGCTCTGTGTGTGCCCAGTAATTGGCAAAATGGAGGTGAGCCTGGTTGCTGACTCCAGACACTGATCATCGGACTCAGGGTCTCTAGAGTGGGTTTTCCATTCCATCTCCTTGAAAGGGTTCTTGAGTCTGTTGCAGCTGGCCAGGAAGGAGCTGGCTGGGCAAGCTGGGAAGATGGGAATGCTCGCTCCTTTAGTGGCAGGTCAGTCCTGTCTTCTCCGCCCCAGCATGTCTGGGTCCTGCTCTTTAAGGCCCAGCCAGGTTTTACCTTGTGGGCAGGTGTCCCTCACTTCCCCCCTTGTCTGGCCACAGAGGGGCTCGCTCATACCACTGAACCTCCGAGGCCTCCTGGCTTGGCAGCACCTTTGTCCCCTTGCCCATGGGAGGAACTTGACAATGGTCCATTCAGTGTCATTCCCTGGCTTTCCCCAAAGTCAACTGGGCCACATACCGGGCACCTAGCCCAGCTGAAAGTCCCCTGCAGGCTGGGGCCTGGTTTCATCAGAGAAAGTGCAGAAAATGTCTTTTGACCTATTAAGACTTACTGAGCCACCGTCACAATGCTATGCCCACTGTCCTCTGAACCTGGACCCAGCAAGTGGCCAGGGTCTCAGGGTCCACTTTCATTTTGTCCTATTCATCGAAAAGTTGGACTGGACTTGAAGCATCCCCTCAAAATTCCGGCCAGGGTTTGCTAGACTTTAACCCAGACATTTCCCAGCTCTTGAAGTTCAGGAGTTTGATTTGGCCACGAGCAGCTACACTCTCCTTTAGGGCAGCTCCTATTCAGGACAAAACCTGGGCCCGTGTCACGATGGATCTAGAGAGACATGACTTCATGGGAGCAAATCAACAGAGTATTTTTTCCTCTGGTGGATTCTGCTTTTTATAAAATCAGTCTACGATAGCACTGAACGAAATGTCTGCAGGGGAGGAAATCCATCATTCCACTCCCTACTTCAGCTCCTTTCATTTTCTGGGCTCCTGTGTAGCCTTTGGCCGTCAGCCGGCATATTTTTACGTAGTTGTAACTGTGGCCAAGACCGCTTTTAATTCATTTTTTTCCCTTCTCATACAATACCAGACAATTTTTCTATTACATATTTGTCATGGTGATCATCTCATAAAGGCCGCCTATGGGCTATCAAGTAGACAGGCCAAAATTTAGCCATTCCATTTAAAAAAAAAAAGATTTTTAAATTGATTTTTAGAGAAAGAGGAAGGGAGAGGGAGAGAAACATCGATGTGTGAGAGAAACATTGATCAGCTGCCTCCTGCACGCCCCCAACCTGGGATCGAACCCACAACCGGGACATGTGCCCTGTCAGTGAATTGAACCAGTGACCTTTCAGTGCATGGGATGGCGCCCAACCCACTGAGCCACACTGGCCAGGGCAGCTAGTCCATTCTTGTAGACTTGCTTCTTCTGTTGTTGTTGGCTTGTTTGAATTATTTTATCAGGGTAACTCTGAGGAGTGGGATTGATGGGTCAAAGTACACCAAGGTCTTCCCCCTTCTGGTAAATGCTACTAACTTGCTTTCCCAAAGAGCCCCTCGTTCGCAAGGCCCCTGCAGCACCCGCCTGGCTGAGGCTCTGGGGACAGATGGAGTGGGGGGTGTCCTCTCACTCTGCAGCTCGGTGGCTGTGTGTTTCTTCGCCCAGGCTGGCTCCGGGAAGCAGGCCGTTTCCCAGGCCACGGCACTGACCGCTGCCACTCGCTCTGGCTTCTGACAGTAATTGTTACAAGACCTCTAACTGCCCATCTCACCACAGCACTCTTAGAAATGGCCAGTCCCCCTCGCCTCCTTTCTCTTTACTGAAACCGCTTTGTTTACACTCACTGGTGTCGGTGACCTGGGATTTGCATCCAGTTTATTTTCTTTCCTAAGAAAATAACCAGTGCCAGCCTGGTGGATGGGGCCAAGGCGAGGGGCAGCGGCCACCAACGATGATGACCTTGGGCCCTCCTCATTGCTGGGGCAAGGCAAGCTAGTAAGAAATACCAAATAGGAAGTTTTCACAAGGGTTTGCACACTGACCGCAGAGCTCTGCCTACCTACTGGCTTCTGTGCCCTGAATGAATTTTCTGCCTCGCATTTGAGTCCCTGGTTCCCCCCAGGCAGCCAAGGAACAAAGCCGGTCATGACCACCCATTGGCAGCTGGTGGGGGCCCATCTGCCTGGCCCCCCTGTAGGCAGCTACTCCCCAGCTTCCAGACCCTCCCCTGCCACGGTGGGTGTCCCATCTGTGCATCACCTGTTCAACTATTTACTCAATATTTTTTTCTATATTGGCTTTAAATGTTTTAAATCAAGTTTTGTCTTAAGCAATAATATCTGTGAAATATGGGGTTCTTGGGCTGCACGTATTTTCCCAAATGTACACGAAAATAAATACATAATTGTCAACATAAAAAATGACTCGTTTGGGGGCCTGGTAAAAGTTTTCTGAACACACAGGTGGCATGTGGGCCATCTGAGGGACACTCTTGGAACCCAGGTAAGCCCCTCGCTGATTTGGGTAGTAGCATTTTTTAACAGTAAGCGTTTTGGGGCTAGTTCCCTGAAGGAGCCCCCTCCTTCAGTCTATCCCCTGGGTGGTGGTGGTGCCAGCTACGGTCTCCATTGTTGGGTGTGTGGTGGCCAGAGCCTAACAAGCTGATCTGTCCCTGCAGGTATCGCTCTCCTGGGTTCCACGTGCAGTCCTGGTATGACGAGGTGAAGGACTACACCTACCCCTACCCCCACGAGTGCAACCCCTGGTGCCCAGAGAGGTGCTCTGGGGCCATGTGCACCCACTACACACAGGTAACACGGAGGACTGGCCTTGAGCCCAGCCCACCGTCCCCAAACCCCCTCAGCTGGCGCTGCAGGACTGTTGCCGGGTCGGAAAAGCTCTACTGTTGCCTTAATTTTTTTCTTTAATTTGGTGCTATTTGGAGTATTCATTATTTCACATAGCTGATGGACTGAGCAGTTTCCCAAGTAGAACACCGAGACCGAACACTAGAAACTTTTATGGCACTTTTACACGCTGGGGCACTGTCCTTGCGCNATAGCTGGTGGACTGAGCAGTTTCCCAAGTAGAACACCGAGACCGAGCACTAGAAACTTTTATGGCACTTTTACACGCTGGGGCACTGTCCTTGCGCGTGGTTTGTTTGTTCAGCTTTTTGTTTTGTTTATTTTAGATCCTCAGTGGGTCGGGGGGCAATCTGGCCCTTCACCCCTTCACCACCTACCCCGTTAAGCAGCACCCTGTAGAGCCAGGCCAGATTATGTCGCCCTGGTGTACCTTGCCCCCTGAGGTCTGACGCATGGATGTCGTCTTTTCAGATAGTTTGGGCCACCACCAACAAGGTTGGCTGTGCTGTGAACACCTGCCGGAGGATGAACGTCTGGGGGGACATTTGGGAGAATGCGGTCTACCTCGTCTGCAATTACTCCCCAAAGTAAGACCAAGTGGGTGTGGCTCTGTGGGTTGGGGTGCTTTTCCAGCTCTGGAGGACACAACTAAAGCTGTCTTCACCAGCGAAGTCTTCATTATTTCACATAACAAGGGGGCTAGAGGTTGGTGCATCCGGGTTGGCTTGATTGGTCAGCAGTGTCAACCAGGACTCAGGCTCCTTTTGACTTCCTGCTGTACCGTCCTCTCCTCATGGTGCCAAGATGGCTGCAAAGCACCGGGCATCATGTCTTCCCAAGCAGAAGGAAGGGGTGTGGTAGAAAAGAGCCCTCTCCTCAGGTCTTTCTCCCCCCTGGCGACTTTCTCCCCCCTGGCGACTTTCTCATTGGCTAGGACTAGACCAGTTGCAGACAGGGGGGAAACAAGATTGCCCCAATTGGCTTTGACCAACGGAATTGCCCCAGTTGACTTTGCGAGTCTCTTCTGGGACCACCTGGACAAATCAGAAGCAGGAATAGCTGTTTCCTGGGCAACCAGGGGGGTCTGCCAGAGCAATATTACTATCATTTTTTTCTGAAAATATGCAGCAGATAGCACTCTATAAAATAGGTATTCACGTTAGAATGAGTTTTTTCATCTTTCTATTTCCCCCTCTCAGAAGGGACCACATCAGGTATTGTAGCCCCCCTTCTTCCTTACACAGCCTGTGTCATCCGTGTGTCATTTATCCCTTGACTCATTTCACCTTGGTTGCTCATCCGACAAACATGTGCTAGTTCTGAGAGAACTGCTCACCCAGTTCACGACCTGCCGTTTGCGCGCCAGCCACCACCCCATCCCCATGCCCTGCACAGTGTGGGCCTTCGAGGTGTATTTGCTCAGTGTCTGAATGAGATGGGAATGAAATGGGAAATGGGCCAGGAGTGGCCGAGGGTGTGATGAAGGGGCAATCGCTGAGGTTGGAGGACAATAGAGCCCTCCATCAACCATCCGGCACGCCTGTGGTGGCAGTGTCTCAGCAGCCCACAGGGAGAAGGGGCATTATGTCATTAATGGGGACGGATGCAGCCCATGGAGGAGCAATAAACTGGTCCGAGGTGGAATTTCTGGCAGAGTGGCAGGTGGGAAGTGAGGAATAATTCGGTTTGAGTCTATATAAAAAATACCCTATCAAAAATACAATCCTTCCCTTCTTTAGCCCCCACTCTTTTTCTTGAAAAATGAAAAACCCATGAGGATAAAATACACTAATCTTAAGTGTACAGCTCAATAAAATTTCACACCTATATACACGTATTTGTCTGCTCGGGCTGCCGTAACAAAATACCAGAAACTGGGCTCTTAAATAATAGACATTTATTTCTCACAGTTCTGGAGGCTGGAAGTGCCCGATCAAGGTTCAGCAGGGCCAGTTTCTAGTGAGGACTCTCCCTGGCTTGTAGATGGCGGCCTTTTCCTTGCGTCCTCACATGGTGTTGCCTGGTGCCTGCACTGAGAGAGAGGCAGAGAGAGAGCTTGTTGGTGTCCCTTCTTATAAAGACACTAATCCCATCCAGGGCCCCACCCTTCTGACTGCATTTAACCTTTTATTACACCCTTCGAGGCCCCATCTCCACATATAGCCACAAGAAGGGTTAGAGCTTCAGCGTATGAATTTGGGGGCGTACACATGATTCATTCCATTATATATATACCCATGTAACTACCACCTGGTCAAAATAGAGAATATTTCCAGTGCCCCAGGATGCCCCCTAGAGTGGCTACTATTCCCACCTCTCTCCCCATCTGCCAGTCTGTCTGGTGGGGACCCTCATATGAATGGACCTAACTGATAAGCCCTCATGTGCCGGCTTCCTCTCAACACCATGTCTATGAGAGTTGTCTGTGGTATTGTGAGTTCAATGGGTCATTCTTTTTTATTGCTGTGTAGTATTCCACGGCCTCTTCAAACGTTTGAGCCCCTGGCCTTGCAGCAGACGGTAGCTAAGAGGGTGGGCCCCGGGGTAGTGTCTGGGCTCAGTTCCTTTTGGGCGGGAGTGGGGGGGTGGGTCTTGTAGTTTCACGACCTTGTGCATTAGGAGAGGACACTTACTTCGTGGGGCTGTTGGAAGAGTAGAGAGATTGTCCATGGACAGGGCGTTGGTGCAGAGCCTGGCGCCCAGCCAGCCTTCCATAAATGCTAACTTGAGTGTTCCTCCTGGAGCATTAGAGGTGTGGTTTGTCTTCAAGGAAATGTGGAACCCTAGGTAGGCTGGCGATCTCAGCTGGGGGAGAGGGATGAACCCATCTGGGGCTCCAAATAGCCTGAAGAAACTTACTGAGCCTACCCAGCGACAGGACAGGTTCTGAGGCCCCCTCGGCCTGCCTGACAAGGGCCATTTGGAGGAGTCATTCCGAAGGCCCCCATGAGTCCCTAGCCAGCCTTGCATGTCCGAGCAGAGGTAGGTCAGCTGAGTGGGGACTGTGGCATGGTGAGGACACTATCATTAGTCATCTGTGATGTGTGAGGACAGACGCGATGAGCGTGTTATAATGGGCCCCCCGCCCTCCATCCCCAGGCCTGATGCCCACACGGCCCTGGGTGATGCCATCCCGCTATTTTGAGCCCTCGGAGGTTAAACAGAGAGTGTGTTTTTCGCAGTTTGTCTTACGGCCAACACTAGCAGGGCCTCTCCCTGGCCTCCCTGGAAAGCTGTCAGAAACATCACCTGGGCAAGCTTGTTGGTTTAGGAAGTGCTCAGAGTGTGTGGCCTTCATCCTGAGCCGAGCCCGGGTCTGAGATGTCCACACAGTCACTCACTTCATCCTTACAGCAGCCTCCTGCCGTCACCCCCATTATGGAGCAGACATGCTGAGGGCTAGGCAAAGTTGGGGTCACCCAGCTGGCAAGGCTGGGGTCCAGCCTAGGGTATCTGCACTTTATCACTCAGCTGGAGGAGGAGGGGGCCAAACGTGGCTTAGCAGCAGGCCTGAATCCCTTTCCTGGGAGAACAAATAAATGACTGGGCGATCACGTAGGAAATTTCTAGAACAAATTAGAGACTGGTCCCTAGTCACTCATGGCTCCAGTTTATGTTGCCAAAGACCCAGGTGCTTGAGACGGACTTGGGAATCCCACTTATCACCTGCTACCTGCCCCCTGGAGAAATCTCACCACGCACGTAGCCTCCAGTTTTCCTGCCCTGGGAGCTTCAGAGGGGGGTGGATGGTGCCTGGGATGCTCAGAGGGACCTTAGTCCCAGGCCCAAGAGCAGAGTGTGGTCAGAGGCTCTGAACCCCACAGCCTGGGTTCACATCTTGCTGTGTGACCTCAGGCAAGTCACTGAGCCTCTCTGAGCCTCAGTTTCTTCCTGTGCAAAAGAGTTGAATTCCAGCATGTCCGTCCTGGGGTGTTGGAAGGATGGAGTGACCTGGGCTGGGTGTGTGGTCCAAACACGAGGTATTCCATGAACACAATGATTTCTATGCATTTGAAAAATGGCTTAAAAGGGGGGTCCTGACAGCTTTCCAGAACAAAGGCGCTGGGGCTGGGTAGGGGTGGACAGTGTTCAGAGTTGTGTGAGGGGAACAACAGGGGTACATGTGGGGCCAGTGGGGTGTTGGCACACACACTAAAGTCACGGGAGGGGACATGTAGGTCTCAACTGGGGTTCTAGAATTCTTCCGACTCCCTGCCCTCAGGAGGGGCCCAGGGCAGCTCCTCTTTCCCTTTACATGGCAACCACGGCCCTCCTCCCCGAATGTGTTCAGCCGCGAGGGGGCCAGGAAAGGCGTGACCCTGACAGTGTTTCTGGTCTCTCTTCAGGGGGAACTGGATTGGAGAGGCCCCGTACAAAACCGGCCGGCCCTGCTCCGAGTGCCCGCCCAGCTACGGAGGTGGCTGCAAGAACAACTTGTGTTACCGAGGTAGGAAATGACTTTAAAACCGTGAGTCACAGAGCAGCTTGCGCAAACCACAGACCCGGAGAAGTAAACAATGGAGCCCAAGGTGCCCCCTCCCCAGCCCTGTAGCAGCCGCCCTCAGCTCTCCCCTTCCTCCCCCCTCCTTTCCTCCACCTCTTGCAGAAGAAGACTTGGGGTTCAGCCCCCAGTTCCCTGGGGACCCATGGCTGGCCTGGGACGTCCCCCCAGTAAGCATCTCCCATGGCCAGATTCCGAGCTGGACCTTGAATGCAGCCTCCACTCCAACACCCCCCGTCCTTGTTTGTTGGTGCTCACGATCTGATACAGGAAAACAAACAAGGAGTTAAAAACGAACCACCAGACAGATGTCCCCTGTGAGCTACAGACCAGGCAGGGTTGTCCCTCCAGGGTATCCTTCCCGTCCTGGCCCCCACCGACCACCCACCCACTTCCCCAGCTTGTTCAGCCCTCGCCGGCTTGTCGTAAACATTTCTGTTTCCCTTCCTCTGGCAAACCTGGAGCTTTCAAAGGCTGTGTCATCTCCAGCCCCTCCACCATTTGCTTATTGTCACCACTCAGAAGGTTTCCACTCACCCCGCTACTGTAAATAATGCACGTTTTTCATGCCTAAAGTGTTTCTCACATTTTGGAATATTTCCTCGGGCCCGTCCCAGAAGAGGCAGAGCTGGGCCAAAGGGGCCTATCCTTGTTTTTGTAATTAAGATGAGTTTTTTCACGTGGCTCCATCCACAGGCTTTGTGATGGCTCAGAGGGGGGCTGGGCGTGCGAGGGAGCCATCCTCTGCGCCAGGCCCTCCCTGACGGAGGGGACATGGGGTCAGTCCTGTGGGCTCTAAGGTGAAGAAACAGGTGGCTAGGGTGGGGGTCCCAGGCCCTCTCAGGGGCCCAGGTGCTCTGCTGTCCTGGCCACCTGTTCACTGCTGATTCTGCCCACTGGGGAAGGAGAGAGGGGACAGGAGAAGGAACAGCCAGGTTTTGAGGCTGGTGCTCAAACCACGAGATCACTCTACCCATCAGCAAAATGGGTGTGATAACATCATTCTTTCATAATGTATCTCAGGCTCAAATGAGAATCCATGCATTTGGTGTAAATTTATTGAGCACCTGCTGTATGCCAGGATGTTGCTGGTGATATTAATGGGGATAACTCTGGGGACCATGAGGGCCTGCCCTCATGAAACTGAGGTCCAGCGGGGTCATGGCCATGAGAAGCGATTCTCATCTTCCAAGAGATGAGACTGGATGTCAAGGAGTTTATAGCAGGAACATCGGCTGTTGTCTAATGGGGTCAGGGAGGGCTTCCCTGAGCAGGTGCCCTTAAGGAAGAAGACGTAGCCTAGTCATGAGAAAAGGGAAAGGTGTTTCCAACAGGGGGAANTGAGAGTTATGGGCCTGCCCTCATGAAACTGAGGTCCAGCGGGGTCATGGCCATGAGAAGNATGAGGGCCTGCCCTCATGAAACTGAGGTCCAGCGGGGTCATGGCCATGAGAAGCGATTCTCATCTTCCAAGAGATGAGACTGGATGTCAAGGAGTTTATAGCAGGAACATCGGCTGTTGTCTAATGGGGTCAGGGAGGGCTTCCCTGAGCAGGTGCCCTTAAGGAAGAAGACGTAGCCTAGTCATGAGAAAAGGGAAAGGTGTTTCCAACAGGGGGAACAGCATGTGCAAAGGCCTGGAGGCATGAGGCAGCATGGTCACGAGAGGAAGACAGAAAGCCCTGCACATTGTGCAGATCCTGGCAGTGCCTGCCACGCAGTAGGGCCTCTGTAAGCACTTTTTTTGCTTTTTAATCTCTGTTTGTTAGTTTATTTTGTTCATTAGATTCCACATATAAGTGAAATTATGTGGTATTTGTCTTTTTCTGACTAGCTTATTTCACTTAGCATAATACTCTAAAAAGGATAAGATTTCTTTCTTTTTTATGGCCAAGTAGTATTCCATTCTGTATGCACCACAGCTTTTTAATCCACTCATCTACTGATAGACACTTGGGCTGTTTCCAAATCTTGGCTATTATAAATAACCCTGCAATGAACCTAGGGGTGCATATATTCTTTCAAATTAGTGTATCTGGTTTCTTTGGATATATTCCCAGAAGTGGGGTCACTGGGTCAAAAGGCAGCTCCATTTTTAATTTTTTGAGGACCCTCCATACTGCCTTCCGCAGTGGCTGCCCCAGTCTGCATTCCCACCAGCAGTGCCCTAGGGCTCCCCTTTCTCCACACCCTCGCCTGCTCTTGTTATTTGTTGATTTATTGGTGGTAGCCATTCTGACGTGTGAGGTAATATATCATTGTGGTTTTAATTTGCATTTCTCTGATGATTAGTGATGTTGAGCAACTTTTCATACGTCAGATCTCATCTCTATTGTCCTATTCATGCACATCCTGTGGCTGCTCTCCAGTCACCCCGAGGGGTTAAGTTTCTATCAGATTTGGGGACTGGATGCCCATTTGAGTTCCCCCAAATCTCCCATTGTGAGGGGTGTGCATGGCCCAGAGCTGTCCGGGTTAAGGCAGAGCAGGGTCATCTTTACTGTCCCAGGCTGTGTGTACTCAGGCATACTCCTTTCCTTCTAGGAGCCTCAGTTTTCCCATCAGTGATAACATAGTCCTGTAAATTTCAACCAAAGCAAAGCAGAGAGTTGCTATTTGCCTTTGCTTGAGTGGCCTTCTCAAAGGTGAATTGATGCATATCTCTGCGGGGGACCCCTTTGTACCTTTACAGCATGCACCCCTGTCCCCCTTGGATGTCTGTGGACTAGAGTTGGAAACCCTTTCCTCTTGCTCACCCACAATTAAAGCAATGGAAAGGACGTGAGTTGCTAGCACAACTTGCACATAGCCGGTGCTTTATAAACAGCTGGTTAGCTCCTTGAAGAAGTGAGAGGTATTGCTACACTTATACCTGCATGGGGCCCTTCATCACCTGGTGAGGAATATTGGTCCTCTCCCAGCCTGGGGCTTTTATCCATCTCTGGAACCTGGCAGATTCCTTCTCCTCCTCAGAAACACAGCTCTGGTGTTACACCTCCTCCAGGGAGCCTTCCCTGACTACATAGACAGGCAGTGCCCCTGCCTTTCTGCTCTTACTGCAGCCAGACTCTCCTTGAACCTTGACCACCTGTAGTTATAACCGCCGGTTCGCCCCAGGGCCTCCAGGGGCATGGAGCAGGTGTGTCCTGCATGTCGTCCCAATATAATACCCCCCAGACCCACAGAGAGTCATCTTCCAAGAACAAATACAGACGAAGATACCTTAGATGCTGGTTTACCCATCCAATGAAGCCTCTGTACTTGTTTCTTTATTTCTGGTGGAAAATATCCAACTTCACTAGGCAGGTGTGCCAGCTTTCTCAGCTAACCATGCAGAAAGTCTCCTGTAAAGTGACTGATCTGCATAAGCTACTTTATAAGCGTGCATGGCCAGGCCGGGCCTGCAAAGGAGCTGGAGCTGGGAGAAGAATAGACCATAGGAGAGGTTTGCATCCCTCCGGACTTGCCAGGTGTGGTGATAAAGGGTGTGGACTTCTGGGAAAGGCAGTCTGACTCTCAGCTATGTGATCTTGGGCAGGTCACTTAGCCTCTCTGAGCCTCGGTTTCTCTGTCTGAGAAATGAGGCTCATTGTGTCTCTTAGGGCAAGGAGAAGATGTGAGAACGTATTGGGGAAGGTCGGTGTTCAGGAAGCATTAGCTGTGAGCTTTGTTATCACTTATAGAGCCAAGTGGGAATCTGCAGAATGATGTAAGCAATGCTACGTGCCCCAAGACCCCCGGCCCAGAACAGGACAGTGCGCACAGTAACCTTGCCATGAACTTGGGCATGGAATTTCCCCAGACCTGCACCAGTCCACACAGGGGATCTTAATTAGGATGTGCTCAAATAGGGCCAGTCCTCTGGGCAAGCATTCCACTTTTCATGTGTGTGTCTGAGGGCGAGGACTGTCTGCCCATTTTCTTAAATAGTGAGCCCTCAAATGCTTTAGACTGCTTTACCAAACTATATTCGGCTAAATAAAGCCACGATTATGAGGTATAAAAATCCTAAAGGCCAGTGGAAGAAAACCCGGCTTATTCCAGAGACAGCTCTGGCTTTCAGTGAAGGGCAAACCTGAGTGGCCACATTGACGGGAAGGCAGACCAGAGACGGCTGATCGTGCCAAATGGCGTTGCAAACCTAGTGTCTTCGTAAAGATTTCACCTAATAGCTTTTGGCTACAAACGATGCTTTCAGAATTCCCTTCCTAAATGTCTTTAAATTTCACTGGGAATATTTTTCCCCCAAAGGAATCCAAAGACAGAATTCTTTGGCGGTTTTGGTTATCTTTCATTGAGCAAATTTTGTTGAGCAACTATTATGTGCTGGAAGCTGGGTCTCCAGTGAGCTGTGAAACAGGCTAGTTTCAGGCCTCAGGGAGCTTACAGCGGGTAGGAGAGGCAAGTGGTGGTGAAATCACAGCTGGGAGCTAGCACCGGAGGCCCATGAGCTCTGGCAGAACGGACTTGGGACTCAAGCTTGCAGGTCCCCTCCCCGCTTACATCCTGTCCATTCTCTCAGAACTAGGTTTGTCTGGGGTGATGATTATGCAAAAGGGAATTGGCCTGTGAAACAGAAGCAAAGAATTCCAGCCTTGAAAAGCACTGAAGAACCATTTAGCTGCCCTTCATCTGGGTGTTTGTCTTGTATAGACACAAAAACTTGGTCTGCCCTTTGGAGAAGAAAGGTCCTTGCCCTTAAGGAGAAGTCGCAACGAGGCTGGGGGGCTGATGAACACTTACTTGATGGGACTTGAATTTTAATCCAATGACCCAAAGGGGTCTACGAAGGTGCTTCACTCCTCCTCCTTGAAATGGTTCTTACCCAAACACATTTCTGTCGTTTCTTTCATAGAGGAGAGCAGGAGGCAGAGGTTTTCAACTTGGTCCACAGGCATCTAAGGGGGACAGGGGTGCATGCTGTAAAGGTGCAAAGGAGTCCCCTACAGAGATGTGCATCGATTCATCTTTGAGAAGGCCACTCAAGCAAATGCAAAGAGCAATTCTCTGCTTTGCTTTGGCTGAAATTTACTGCTCGGTATCCTGGTGGCCTGATTACAGATTCTGGTCAGCAGTTAATTGTTGTCTTTGGTGATGAAATCAAGAAGATAAATAAACTGGTGTTTATAAGAAATGCAGCCCGGCTGGGCGTGGCTCAGCAGTTGAGCGTTGACCTAGGATCCAGGCGATCAGGGTTCGATTCCCGGTCAGGGCACATACCCAGGTTGCAGGCTCAATCCCCATTGGGGGGCGTGCAGGAGGCAGCCGGTCAGTGACTCTCTCATCATTGATGTTTCTATCTCTCTCTCTCCCTCTCCTTTCCTCTCTCTGAAATCAGTAAAGGTATATTTAAAAAAAAGAAAAAAGAAATGCAATTTGTTCGGTTAATTAAAATGTCTTAAAATGTGGGGGTCATGATCGTTATTGGAGAAATAATATCTATTTGGGTGGCAAAAAGATTGGGACCCAATGTGCTAACTTTCTTTTAAACCAGGAGTCAGGTCTCTGGCTTATTCTGCCTGATGGTTCCAATGTTACTGGGTAGCAAAGCTTCAGGGCAGAGAAAGGAGTTGAGTTTGGTTAAGTGATGTTGACTCACAGGGGTAGAGAAGGAAGCAGGATGTGCTGGTGATGAAAAGTTGGGGCCAGAGGGACCTCAGGGGAGGCAGCTATGGTTTGGAGTCAGATGTGCTTCCTTGGGCAAATGGTGGTGCAGGAGGAGGTGGGACAAGCAACCATTATGATAATCCAGGTGTGGGCGCTGGGGCCTCTCGCCCCTGCTCAGCCCAGCTGCTCTCGGGTCCAAAGCACACACAGCGAGCAGAGCCTGTGCATCGCACCTTGGCTGGTAGAATTCCACCTGGCCAGGCCTGTTCTGAAATGTAGCTTTCTTTCTGCCACTGAAATGATTCTTTGTCAAACGAAACCCAAACAAGTTTAGGTTCCAAGGGTTTTTTGCAAAGTGCATTTCTGTCGAATCTCAGCATTTTTTTTCTTTCCCCTTCGTCTTCACGATGAAGAAGAGACTTACGTCCAAAAACCTGAAACAGACGAGATGAATGAGGTGGAGACAGCTCCTGTTCCTGAAGAGAAACACAACTGGGTGCAGCCGAGGGTCATCAGACCCAAGAAAGTGTCCACCGTGAACTACATGAGTGAGTCAGGCTCCCTCTCTGTCCTGTGGCCGCCTCTGGAAGGGGGCAGTTTTCTCTGGGGGGGGGGCAGTGTGTGGAGGAGGAGAGCTGGGGGGTTGAGAGTTCTCCAAGTTTGCAAACGGCGGGAGCAGGGCTGTGTGCAGCTTACAAGAGTACAACCCTAAGACGTTCCTAAAAAATGATAATTTTAACTCTTTTCAAAAGTGAGACTTATAGGAGCTGTGCTTGAGTGTCGTTCCCCGCCCCACCCCCCACCCAAGGCAGGTATTTTAAGGTTAGACCTTTTCCTTCCAAAGGGGACCTGGGCTGAAACTGGGTTCCTCCTGGAAGCGCCGGGCCCCCTAAGGGAGAGCGCAGAGGGCGCAGGGTGGGGGGCTAGCTCCTGGGAGCTCCAGCCCTCCTTCACTGCACCAGCTCTGCGACTCGGGCATCACTCGACTCTCTGAGACTTAATTTGCTCATCCATAAAATGGGGCAATAAAACGAGGTGCTCTGAGGAGTATTTGCAGTACCGTGGGCCCTGGTGTCAGCGGGGATCTCCTGTGCTTTGAGATCATCAAGTTGCCTCAGACGGCCCCCTTGGGCGGGAAGTTAAATGTTTCCCCCCAGACTTCTGGAAGCCCCCAGAACACTCCTGCTCGCCTGTTTTGCACTTTCCCCTCCCCTGGTTCCCAGTGCACCTCACCTCCCACGGCTTTTCCTTTCTGATTTCCCTGACACTGCCCTTGGGCACCTGTGTACACGGTGCCTTTCCTGGAGGTTCGGGGCTCTGAAGGGGCACCTTCTTACAGACACGGCACCAGGCACCAGACACGGGCTGTCTGTCTGCTGTTCTTGTTTTCTCTGATTCTCCCCTAAGCCTTAAACAGTGTAAAACTGGACTGACCCCTGAGTAGGGCCCATCTTGCTCAGAAACCATGCCCTCTTGCTCAACTACTTTCTCCCCACCCCCACCAGTCACTCTATGGTCTTGGGCTTCAAGGGCCTTTCCCTGGACTTTCTGTTTGGTCATCCTGTGGCTTCTTTGACCAGGAAATAGGCTGATATTCTTTCCTGTCCAGCAGTTTAAAATGGCTCCTTTGGTTTTTTTAAAATAATGTAAAATTGTAACGTCTTTTTGTCCAACTGTAACTCTACTCCAAGATTTCTATGCATCCCTATAAAATAAACGAAAAAGGAGAGCTTGGCAAAGTCATCTTGGCTATGGGGGAGATGACACCGGTGGGGACGCCTGGGGCTCCACTTCCAGGCTGGATAAGGCTGATAAGGCCTGTTCTCCAGAGCCGTGGGCGTCTCTGGGGCACTCAGCATGTGCCATGCTCCCTTCCAAGGTCACATGTTCTCTTTCACTTAACGCTCATGGAAACTGTACCCCTATACTAATACCCATTGTTCACATGTGGAAATGGAACCTCAGAGAGGGGAAGTAACACGTCCAAGGTCAAACGACTACTATAAAGCGGTGGATCTGGGATTTGAACCTCACCACTGAGGCCTGCAGCCATTGGGCAATGTTCCTGCTCTCGAATGGCATGGGTTCCAGAAGGTTCCTCAGAGTGGGGGGTGGGGTCTTCTAACTCAGGCTCATCCCCTTGATTCTTCCAGTGATGTATATTTCTGCATTTCTTTCCTAGCCCAAGTTGTCAGGTGTGACACCAAAATGAAGGACAAGTGCAAAGGGTCCACGTGCAACAGGTGGGTCTGGGCAGGATCCCTCTCTCACTGCTCCCTACAGCTCTTTGAAGCGCCTGCTGTGGGTTATGGGTCACGTCATGATCAGCCAGTTGTTGGCCACCCAAACCAAGCTGTGTAGAAACTCACCAAAAAATGGTACTTTCTGCTTTTAGCAACAATGGTGTGCACCAAAGGTTCAGTGGGGAGGTAACACAGCTTGCTTTGTGTCATAAATCAGACTGACAGAGTTCCCTCTGAATGCCACCCTTTATTAAGAGCATGGCTCACAAAGATGATTCATTTCTTCAACCTTAACCAGAGTTCCTCAGCCTTGGCACTACTGACATTTAGGGCCAGGTAATCCTTTGTGGTGGAGGCTGTTCTATGCAGTGCAGGAAGCTGAACAGCACACCTGGCCTCCACCCACTAGATGCCAGGAACACCTCCCTAGTCACGATCACCAAAAAATTCTCCAGAAATTGCCAATGTTCCCTGAGGGGTAAGATCACCCCTAATGGATAACCTTTGACCTTCAGGGTTGGCCCAAGCTCTGGGTCTTCTCCTGCCTGGACATATATTCCAGTTAAGTGTTTCATCCCTAGTGGGGAGGAGGTGCTCAAATTACAGATGCTCTGCATTATTGTCTGAAAAGGAATTTCCAAGCTGCAGAAGTGCCAGATTTGTACATAGCAGATGTGCTACAGACATGACCATCTTGACCCACATTTTTGCACAGCTGGGGGCTCCATTGCACCTCTCTGTGTGAGGGGGTCACAGGGTGGCCCAGAGCTCTGTGCACGGAGATCAGGGCCGGGCAGTGTTAGGACATGTGTGGGCTGGCAGCTCCTTAGCCATCGATGGACCACAAGCCTGCTTCCGAATCTAAGTAGCCTGCTTCCCGATGGGCCCCACTGGAGGAAGGCTGCCAGTGTAGCCCCGGGTAGATGAATGAATTCATCCGGCTGATGGAGTCATTGAGTACTGTCCATTCGGATGCTGAAGAACGTCTGCCAAGAACGAGTTTGGTTTTGGCAGGGCAGCCGCTGGGCTGCACTTTCTGGCAGCGAGCGGCCAACAGGTGCAGCGGCCTCATGCAGAAGCTCAGGTTCACGGTTGGGAAGCCACGTCCTTGGTAGAGGGTCTTTACTCAGCTTCCTATGGACTCTGGCACTCATTCGTCTAAAGCCGAATTGCGTCATTTAAAGCACATGCTAAAAGGAGAAGGCAGCGGGTCCTATTTTATGCCACAGGGATTTGGAATTTGGTTCACTAGATGCTTGGCTCAGCCTTTGGCAGGAGTGTGAGGAAACAGGCTTTGAGCAACCCAGGATGAGGTCGTTCGCTAGGCTCAGGCATCGTCCCATGAGCAGCTGGTGACAGGCCAGCAAGTGCTGCGAAAGTCAGCAGCCCATTTGTTGGTGAGATGAGTGAGATGTGGCAATGATGGTGGTGCAATGCCTGTCCCCTGCACAATGTTGGGGACATTTGCACATCTCTGTGCGTGCTGGGTAGATTGGGCAGAAAGCACGCGGCATCTGGAAGGGATCTCCACTCTGCAAACTCATGGGTCTAGGATGTTGGGAATGCTCTTGAGTTGTCCCTTTGTGATGATGTGACTTGCTGTCCTGCAAGCTCATTATGAGAGCCTGAGTACTTAATGGGGAAAAATTAAAAGGTCTAAAAAATATTCCGATGCGAGGCAGCATCTAAAGAGTTCCAGGGTCCAGGGCAGATGGGACCCTCCTCGGGCAGGGAGAAGGCAAGGGTCCATCCGCACCAAGACTGTTTGAGACCTCCAGTCAAGAAACATAGCTCACCCCCACCTGCGAACANCCGGACAGGGAGAAGGCAAGGGTCCATCCACACCAAGACTGTTTGAGACCTCCGGTCAAGAAACATAGCTCACCCCCACCTGCGAACACCAGACTGTCCCCAGTGTCTTGCCGAGAAGCTGTCCCACCATCTGCTTTCTGTCCCTGGTGCATTTGCAAAAAATATTACTTACTGGGCTCATTTTCTGCCTTTAAAAGGTATTCTTGTTCATTGTAAGTAATTCAGGAAAACAACCACAAAACAAAGTATAAAGAAAAAAGTAAGTGTCCAGAACCTCCTCAGTATCAGCAGCGATCTGACAGAGCTCCAGTCTTTTTCCATGCGCTCATTCAGCTAATACTACTTACGTGATCTTAGGCATGGTTTTCGCACCAGTTTCCAAAGTCAGTAAATATTCTTCAGAAAAGTTCATTCCTAGGGGCTCTGTACCACTCTGACGCACGCTACACAAAAATGTTCCGTGGTTCCTTTGACACCTGCTGGCTNGCCATGTTCCGTGGTTCCTTTGACACCTGCTGGCTTAGTTCCAGTTTTTCACAATTATAAGCAGTTAGAATAACATGTAGGTCTTACTTTCTGACTTTTCCTTTGGAATTTACACCTGAAGGGAAATTCAAGAATGAACAGACATAAGGCTTTCTGGAAAGGTCAATTTATACTTTTTCGTGAACATGAGCACCATCATCGAGTTTTATTCTAGTAAAAATCCCCTCCAATTTGACACCCAGAACTGGCACTTCCTTTCAACGTGTACTTCTCTGATGACTGGTGTCTGGGAATTTTTTTTTTTTTTTTTTTTTAGTGTTTGGGTGCCACTTGTCTGTCTTCTGTGAATTGTGTGTCCAGTCACGTCTCTGCCTTAAAACACAAAACTTAAGCACATGAAAATAGTCCTTAAGAAGGTCAACTGAATCTGTCATTGTGTCCATGTGACTATAAACTTCAGCCTGGGGGGATTGTGACTTGCCAGGAAACAATGGATCCTGCATCCCTGAAGCTTTTCTGTGTGTAATAATAGAGCTGTTGAAGGAAAAGAAATGATAATTGCATGGTGGTGCTGAGTCATGTTTACCTGTGAAAATCGTTTCCCATCTTTCCCGTCAGGTACCAGTGCCCAGCAGGCTGCCTGAGCAACAGGGCGAAGGTCTTCGGAACTCTCTTTTATGAAAGTGTAAGTGTGGCCAGCGTTTCTTTAACTGGCTCCTGTGGAATGCTGTTGTGTGTTTTTAAAGAAAGTTGGTGGCTTTCACATGGGAAGGTTTCCCTTCCCCTCCTTCGCCCAACCTTACGTTTGTAGAGATGATCAGTGAGTACTCGTGGGCTCACAAACTTGTGAAGCCACTTCGGGGACACTGAGGCCAGCCCTCGGGAAGCCCAGTCTCCGTTTTAGACGCAGCATTAATATGCTCCACTGCTTGTCGCTGCTTAGTTTGTGATGCACCTCAGATGGCTTTTTAAAATAAGCAACCCCAGGAACAAAGACGGGCTCTAGGGAGAGGCAAGAGTCAGAGGGGGCGCCCGACTTCTTGGCTTGTTGTGGGCTGAAGACAAACGCCTTGGGTACCGCTGACAAAGATGACCTCGGGTGGACTCACGGTGTCTCCCTCCCCTCAGTCGTCCAGCATATGCCGCACTGCCATTCACTACGGGGTCCTGGACAACAGCGGAGGCCTGGTGGACATCACCAGGAACGGGAGGGTCCCCTTTTTCGTCAAGTCTAAAAGAAATGGCATGGAGTCTTTGAGGTAACTATTCTGTGATCAGGGTTCCTTAAAACTTTTTCTGGTTATAAAAGTATTGTTGAAACTTTGAAAAGTACTGAACAATAAAAGGAACCGGGGGAAGATAGAGCTGACTTAATCCCACAACGCAGAAATTGCCCCAGAGGCAGTTCAGCATCTTTTATCCCAGTGGTGCTCTCGTTCTCCGCGCCCCCCTCTTTCTCTCTCTCTCTCTAATCTGGCTGACTTCTGCCTTGTCTTCCTTCGTTGTCCCCTTGTCTTCAGACACATTGTCATTAGCAGTTGATGGTTTCTTTGAGTTGATGGGCTAACTGGATTAGCACTTTTTCTTCCTTCCTAAGAACGAGGCTTTGCATTTCTTAAACGTGCTGACTTTTTTTTGCAAGGTAATGTTTCTCGCGTAAGGTATGTGGCTGGTTGAAGGGCCAGACAGTCCTTGGCTATTCTGACTTTCTGGGGAGCAGTGAGGAGGCTGTGTGTTGACCTGTCTATGGAATCAGAGGCTAGAGTGACCTGGGACCTTAGAGCCCAATGGGGGGGTCATAGGGTCAAAGAGACCTGGCTCTGCTTCTTCCCTGTGCATGATCTTGGGCGGTTTCTTCACCCCTTTGTAAATGAGGTTTGTAGCAGGCCCCGGGGCTGACACCCAGCTAACCCACGATGGCACAGCATGGCAGGCCCACCCTAGGGTCTGGGACAAAGAAAGCACTGAGCAGATGTTGCCGTGACTATCCCAAGGTAGTGTGTGCCGTCCAAACTGTGAGGCCACTCTGAATGTTTCCAAAAGGACATGAGTGATTCCCCCCGGAAGGTCCGGCTCTTCAGGTCGCGTCGAGTGTTCCTTCTCTGCCTTAGCTAAGGACCTAGGGGTTATGTAAACTGAAAAAAAAAAGAGCAAGGAATTGTAAACGAAAGCAAAGAGGATTCTCCCGGAGACACCTGTTGAGTGACCTCAGTAGTGGCCATGACCAGGCTCGGGACAGGCAGGACGGAGCTGCGGGCTTGGCCAGATTCAGATCCTGCGTGGCCTGGGACACTTGTCCTGGAGAAACTTCTAGCCCCGTTCAATGCCCAGCTTTGCACCTAGAGCAGGTTCCTTACGTTTTAGAATTGAGGGAACCCGCGAACATCGACATAAAGCAAATTAAAGCTTTGTTTGCACTAACCTCTAACTGAAACGTAGCATTTCTTTCCATTATGGATGTTGGTTCCAAACCAGAGCAGGTTAGCAGGGCCGGCGACTCTCTCGCTGCTGGAAATGGATTTGCCACGGACATCTCGGAACAGTCTCCGCCGTGCTTACCCTGAAATGACAGTAGGGAGAAGACCCACCTCTAGATTGTTTCTAATGCATTCATGAAGATGCGTGGCTATCACTCTCGTGCTAATTTGTTGTCATATTTTGATAATGATATTAATAATAACCAATTTTAGTCTTTTCCATTTATCATATGTTTTTAAAATGTTCACTCTGAGAAGGGGTCCATAGACTCCATCAGGCTGCCAGAGGGGTTGTTGGCACAAAGTTAATGAGCTGTGCCCTAAAAGTTCTCATTCTAGATCCTGCTCTAGATGTTCTAAGGGCTTTTGGGCTGGTGGGAGACAAATAGGAAAATGTAAATTCGAGGCTGTAAATAAAATAAACGTGGGAGCAAGTGTGCATATGGAGAAGCCATTCTGTTTGCATTTACCTACTGTTTCCTTTTGTAGCAAATACAAGGCATCCAGCTCATTCACGGTGTCAAAAGTAAAAGGTAAGCTGCTGGTCTTTTCCATGTGACCATAATACATGGGTTACCTTGGGTTTCCCTGAAATTTCATTCCCTTTAGTTGTTGATTGAATGTTTATCATGCGTGCTAACATGGCTGTTCTCAGGAATCGGTTCCTGAGGAGGCCGATTCTCTAGTTCCTAAACATCTGAACTTGGCATTGGCTCTAGAGAGCTAAATCAGAAACACAGGCCTGGCGTTCCAGTTGACTGTCACAGAAATACCAACACCTGGGTCTAGAGTAGCTAATAGGTTGCGTAGGGGGTGTCACTTTCTGTTGATTGATGGTGGCCAACCTGGAGCATTGTGTGGAGATGGATGCTGAGGCCTCCTTCTGGGCGCAGCAGGAAACAGAGCTTGATAGATTAGTGACATCTGCCATGGACAAGAGAGGGAAACATGGGGTATGTTTCTTTGGTAGGATGGGATGCATCCATGGGATAGTCGCTACCTCCTTCATACAAATGCTGCCGGCGGCTGCTTATATAAATAAAGTTTTATAGGCACACAACCGTGCCCATTCATTTATGCATCGTCTATGGCTGGTTTCTTTGCAGCATAGATCATAGGGTCCACAAAGCTGGAAATATTGACTCTCTGGGCTTTTAAGAAAGAGTTTACCCAGCTCTGGACTACATGAGGACATGCTGTCAGGCACAACAGGTGGTCAGGATTAGATCCACTTTCTTACATCTGTTGTTTAAAACGGACATATGACTTTGAAGAAAAGAGTCACCGGCCTCCTCTGAAACAGCTCTAGGCTGGGAATTGGAAACTTAGGTTCTCATCCCTGTGCTGCAAAGTCTCAGCTTTTGTGAGCCTCATTTTCTTCATCTGTAAAATTAGAATAATACCTGCTATGAGGATCCAACATGATAAAGTAGGGGAAAGTTTTCAAAATCGAAAAGCACTATGCAAATGGCAAGTTTGGTTCATCCACGGAAAAGCTATTGCAGGCGGTAGCATCCTTGACCAGTAGACACACTCAGGCGTGGGTCTTGTCTCGTCCCTTGAGTGGTCTCAGGTGGAGTGCCAGGCGGGGCTGGACGCCTGCTGGGTCCTCACCCCAGCTCGATTGGAGGGCTCGCTGAACGCCTAGGACCCAGTTGTCTGAGGCCCAGCCTTGCCTGTGACCTGACCCTTTCCCGATGGCTCCTTTTCACAGTGCAAGACCTGGACTGCTACACCACCGTCGCTCAGCTCTGCCCATATGAGAAGCCGGGGACCCACTGCCCAAGGTAAGGCTCACTGGCATCTGGTTTTGCAAACACGGGTGCTGAGAGAAGAAGGCGCCCTGCCGGGTTGGAGGTCATCTCCTGGCAGTGTAGTACAATGGAGTTCCGGATATGGCCCTTGTATGTGTCCACCCAGGAGGTCAGTCCATTCATGCTCAAAGTCAAGGGCCCACTCGACCTTCCCTGAGACCGCCGGTTCTCAGACCTGGTTGCACATTGCAATAGTCTGAGGGGCATTTAAAGCACAAATTCCCGGGGACCCTGCCCTGCCCACTGAAAGCTGAATCTCCAGGAGTGGCCCAGCAGGGGACTAGCCCCTTTAGCCACTACTGGGTGAGCCTGGTGGGCAGCTGGTCCCCGGAACCCTGTTCTGGGGACTTAACTGAGAAATGGCTCTGTCCACTTGATGTTGCCTCCGCTCACTGGGCAGAGTACTTACACTCATAGAAATGACTTCGTTTGCCACACAGCTCCTCCCAAGCCCCTCAGATAGACCTCGAGATTTGTCATTTTGGCCTCTTAGATCAGTCTAGAACTCTGCAAGCTGTGTGCTGTGTATCCCATTTAAATCAGCTCATTGATTCTTTTACTTGAGCTGTGATATTTTCTATGGTTCACTTTAGAAATAGCTTATTAAAACCCAGTTTTTGAGGTATAATTTGCACACAATAAAATTCCCCCATTATAGCTTTACAATTCGGTGAGTTCTGACAAATGCACACACTTTTGCAGCCATGGACACAATCAAAATGATAGAGAGTGTTTTCATCACCCTAGAAAGCTCCCTGTGGTCAGTCCCTCCCCCTCCGCCTCCCCCCCACATCTCCACAAACCACAGATCTACTTTCTGTCACTCTGATTTTGCCTTTTCTAGAACTTCACATGAACGGAACTGCCACAGTATGCAGACTTCTGCGTTGGGCTCCTTTCTCGCTGCATGCTTGTGAGATTCGTTCAAGCTGTTGAACGTATCTGGTTTATTCTCTCCTGTCACCCTGTGCTGTTCCATTCTGCAGATGTGCCACAATTTAAGGACTGGGTTTTACATGCACCTTCCAAACCTTAAGGCTGGTTTCGGAGGAGAATGTGTCATAACAGAACAAAGAGTGTCCTCGGAGCATTTGTGCCTGAAGTACCCACTAGGGCCTCTCAGAAGCTGGGTGACGTAGCATCCTACGAACCCTCCTCCTGGGCCTGGAAGCATGTGGATTCTCTCAAGGGAAAGACTGACCTTAAAACCAATAGCTGGAGCCCGGCTGGTGTGGCTCAGTGGTTGAGCGTTGACGCATGAACCAGGAGGTCACTGTTCTGCTCCATTCGGGGCACATGCCCGGGTTGCGGGCTCGATCCTTAGCAGGGGGCGTGCAGGAGGCAGCCAATCGATGATTCTCTCTCATCATTGATGTTTCTATTTCTCTCTCCCTCTCCCTTCCTCTCTCTGAAATCAATAACATTTTTTTTTAAAAAAAGAATGTTTTTTAAAAACACACACATACACAAAAACTAATAGGTGGAGTCCCCTGAGGTGTGAGCAGAGAATAGCCCCGGGAGGGAGCTGGGGAGGGAGAGGAGACTGGAGACTGTGCCAGGGGCTCTCACTCCTCCCCTTGCTACTCGCCTGCACCTGGAGGCTTTCTCACGGGCACCAACCACGGCCACCACCCGCCACCGCCACCACACTGACCCTCCCCCTGCCGCTGGGTGTTCAAGGGAGGGTAACAGCCTTTTAGTAGATTCCTCCAAGTATTAGAGAGAAGGTGAAGGAAATGACTTCAACAAGAACAAACGCACACACAAAAAAAACTTGACATAGTGCAAGTATGCAAAATATAGGCTTTGACCTGTCATTCTAGAAAGTCTAGGGAAGAATGCTCCGACCTAAACTGTTTTCTTTTTCTAAATCTCTCCCACACACATTCTCTCTCCGCCTGCCCACGCCTGCCCCCTCCCCGAACCATCTCAGCCTCTCCCTCCCTCCGCCTGGCTCCCTTCCCTCCTGCAATCCTGCTGTCCTGGGGCCAGGTAGCCTCCGGGCACCATTTTGGTTTCTGGGTTCCTGGGTCCCAGCCCCGGTGCATTGTTCCAGGTAAAGACAAAAGGCCTTTTCTTAAGTCAAGTTCCTGCCTTTCCCCGGGCCCACCCATTTCCAGTTCGAGGCGGCTCCTCTCCTGTACCGAAGGCTGGAGGCAGGGATGCGGTGGCTGACATAGCGGTGATCTAACCCTGTCCGCCTCAGGTTATCAGTGCCCCCTCCCTGGAATATTCTGTGACTCACTGAGGTGAGGGCCCTCCACCCTTTCCTCCCCCACACAGGGAAGTGACCTTTTAAAAAGCCCATTGATTATAATCTCCGTAATGCACCCTCAGCACGAACTGGCCGACACCCAACAATGGGAGGTGCCAGCGTCTACAGTCCCACACTCACCTCCCTTAGATCTACTCCTTCACCGTGTTTGTGTGTGTCTTCTCGTATAGGGTTTTACAAATCTATATGAACTATTTAAGAGGAGGAAAAACATTTTCACCACTGCTAGAGTGGGAGAAGTATATATATATATTTTTCCCCCAAGGATATGTTTATTGTTTTAGAGAGAGGGGAAGCGAGAGAGAGAGAGACATCAGTGTGAGAGAGAAAGATCGATTGGTTGCCTCCTGTACACCCCCCGACGGGGACTGAACCTGCAACCTTTTGGTGTACGGGACAGTGCTCCAACCAACGGAGCCACCGGGCCAGGGCTATATTTTTTTCTTAAAGAGTAAACAGTATGGTAGTTTCCTTTCATCTAAGAACTTAACTCTTGAAATTAAAATAAAGAGGGCCAGCTGCTTCTCAAGCAGTTTTGTTTACTGCTGATCATAACCGTCACACAAACGCTTCTTGTTTTTCAGAGTTCATTGTCCAGCAAACTGCAGAGACGAGCCACCCTACTGGGCCCCTGTGATTGGAACCAACATCTACGCAGACGTGAGTAGCTGGCATTTCCAGTGACCACCTCTCAAAGTCTGTTAAGACCTCAGAAACCACGTTCCAAGGTCTGGATACCAGAAGCCCAAGATCTCATTTCTGGGCCTCCGGCTAAATTTAGACCAGTCATTTCTGCAACCATTGCCCTAATTTCCCATTTTTAGAGCTATTTGTATCACTGCCTCTGTCTGCTTATGAATACAGATGCAGGTGTGCCTCATCTTACGCAAACATTTTCATAGTTTGGTAAATTGAATCCTGCTTCCCCGCTGACACACATTTTTAATGGGAAGGCTTTCGTGCGTCACATACTTCATTTCCCTAGATATTTAGTGACCTTTCCAGCTCTCCTGATGCATTTAGAGATACTGGTCCACTCTACTCACTGCATTTCTTTTAGGCTATCGTACACTTAGTTATGAGCACCCAGAAGAAATTACAAACTATACTAATCTTCTTGTTAATAACCACTCTTATTATATCGGAGCCTGTTCTTCCAGATTTCCCTCCTACCTTCAGCAAGGAAGCTTTAGCCTTTTTTCTTAAGGAAAACCTTCAGAACATAGCCTGTTCCCTCCAGCTGCCCAGGGTTTAGGGACATGGTGACCCAGAAGACATGAATACGGTCACTGCTCTGCCCTCTGGCCTGTGTGATCTTGCCAAGGCATTAATCTCACTGTTCAATGAGCCAACTGGGGTTTTCTAATCCAGGGAATCTTGTAGATCTAAATTTCCATGATTAGATTAGCATCACTCATCCCCAGCTAGGATCTTTACTCAACTTTTTCTCATCTTCATTTTTGTGGTCATCTCTCACACACCATCACTATCTTTGCCTCCATCTGCCTTCTTTTTTTCCGGATTCCTGTAAATGTGAGGACACTGAGTTCTATAAGGTCAAAATACCCTAATGGCTAATGTTTTCTTCCCACCTTTTTTTTTTCTTTCTCTTTAAATTAGTAATTTTCCCCCCTCAAAAACTGCTTAGCCAAAATTGAGTTCTAGAAGTTTAATAAAGGGGTAAAATTATATATATATATAAAATTGTTACACTAAATGTTTGAATCAAAATCTGCTGTTAAAAGACAGGGACTTTGATTTTTAAGTTATTTAAAAATAAAGGAATGGGCCAAGTGATTCCAGCCAAATACAAAGAAGTGAACAAATAAAGTAGGAGTGGCAATATTTCTATTTTATAAAATGGAATGGAAGGTTAAGCATACTAAGTGGGACAACACAATTAATTATGCAATGACACAAAAGTATCATATCTACGAAGATATGAAAACTAAATCTATATGCACCAAACAACATAGCAGCTAAACATATAAAACAACCCCACTCAAAAAAAAAAGGTTAGAAATCCAAGAATTTGATGAAAATTTAGTAATAACATAAAACTGCCTTTCACTCTGTATTAGGTTCTTTAAAAACACCATCTCTAGGTTTTGTTACTCTCATGTGACAGAGAAGGAGAGTCAGGCGCAGAATGACCTGCCCCCAGTCACACAAAGGCGATTGCCACGAGGGTGTGGCTTGCCTTAGGCTGTGTTCACTCCGTGCTCTATTGTGGCTTGCCTGAATGTGCCTGCACCCATAATTACACTGATGGTAACAGGCATGTGGGTGAAAACCTGAGTGAAGTCTTTAGCTTTTCCTCTAGAGATTTGAGATTTTGGAGCCACGGTGCTCATTGGACAGGGCTTGCATACAATAAGGCTCCAATTAATGTTTGTTGAAGAATTAAATAACTGAAGATACTACAGTAGTCGATACTTAAGCAGCTCTTCAGAAAGTAAAAGAAGGAAGGAGGGAAGGGAGAAGAAAAAGAGAGGAGGCAGGGGAGGAGAGGGAAGGAGGAAAGCTACCTCTGTTTCAGAGGTTCTTTTCTGGCCTTGGTTTCTAGGTCACTCTGTATTCTGGGAAATGATGATGTCTTTTGGAAAATGTCTGTTTAGCTAAGAGATTTATTTTAGGAGCGTTGTCTCCAGATCTTCGAAGGGCTTAATAGCGCTGCAGTCCCTGCCTGCTCACCCAGAGTGCATTACTTGGCAGACCCCTCACTTTGTGGTGAGTTGCAAGGCAGGAGAAGCAACAGGGTGTAGCCCAAAGAGCAAAGTCTGGGCCAGAAGACAGGAGTTCAAGCCCCACCTGTGACCTTTACCAGCTGAGGGCTGATGGGCAAGCCCCACACCCCACAGCAAACCTCAGTTTTCTTGTCCGTCCTCTCCGTCTCCCTTAGTGGCTGGATCAGTTCTCATACTTGCGCATGCATCAGAACCCCCGGAGGGCTTGTTCAAACAGATTTCCGGGCCCCACCCCCAGCATTCCTGACTCAGTAGGTCTGGGGTAGAGCCAGAGAGTCCCCAGTGATGTTCATGCCACTGGTCTGGGACTGCACTTAGAGGGCCACCGGGTTAGAGATGACAGTCCCTTGAGAATTTCCAACAATGATGGTAGTGACAGTGATGATGATGGTGGTGGTATTGGTCTTGTTACCTAATATCTATTGGAGCACTTACTATGTGCAAGCCTGCATTCAGCTGTTGATCTTACTGAATCTTCACAATAGCCCTTTTATGAGGCAGCCCCTGGAGCGCTTGCTGGCTCTGCTCTCTGCCAGCTGAGTGATTGTGGGCAGGCCACGTAACCTCCCTGAACCTCAGTCCGCCTATCAGTAACACCTACGCTGCGGGGGTTTGGGGAGATTACTATATTAATGCATGTGAAACCCTTGGAACAGGGTCTACTTTAGTAATGCAAAAAAATGTTAGCTGCGATGATCCCCACTTTATATTAGAAAATAGAGGCCCTGGACTTGAAATAATCATCCAAGGCCACACAGGCAACACGTGGCAGAGGAAGGATTGGTGTCCAGTCTCCCTGGGACCAGATCTCTGCTGATAACAGTTGTTAGTAAATATTCAGATATTTGTGTTACGTGGGGCCCTGAGAAGAGAAAATGGGCAACCTCTGCTTTTACGGAAGCTCAGTGAGAAGAGGGGTGTGAGAGAAAAGGGGCGACAAAAGGGAAGAAAAGCGTTTGCCCAGTGTCAGGGGTTAAGGGTGTGCGTGTTGATAACAGACGGACACTGGGCCTATCGCGTGAGAAAGATCTGGCCGTGGGTATGAGGTTTGCGTAGGCAGGGCCCGTGGCTTCATGTTATCACAAAAAAACTTCTGTGCCACTGACATCCAGAAATCCTCCGGGACCAGCAGGCAAAGGACTGTCACAGAGGGCACAGAACCAAAGGACACCGCCTCTTGGCAACAGTCAGGAGCATGCAGCTCCCCGGGCAGGGCCTGCAGAAGGGCCAGTTAGGGACACCAGAGGCACTAGTCCCTCCTGGAAATAGTCCCAGGGCCCCACTTCTGGTAACTTGGTCAGCAGAGTGAGCAACACCAGGGGAGAAAGAGAAAAATGCCAGTTCCGCCCGCCCGTGAGAACAGTAAGGGCACTTGTGCTCACTCACAAGCTCACCCCACTGAGAGTGAATTTAGAGGAATTCGAAAATGGTCACTTCATTTCACGTCCCCCTGCTTCTCTGTGAGGTGGCTGTACATGGATTGCTGCTTAATCTTTCTAGGGCACAAACCTTTTTGAGAACTGGAAAGTTATGGACCCTTTCTGCGGAAGGGGGGCTGAGGGGATAGGCTTCCTGGTGCAGGCAGGGTGACCAACTGTCCGGGTTTGCCTGCGACTGAGGGGTTTCCTATGTTCAGCACTAACCCCAGGAAAGTTCTTGATGACCCTGTAGGCTCCCAGAGTTCTGCCTACAACTTCAGGGCCTCACAGGACCCCCTGGAGGCCACTTCAGGCTAAGGAACCCTGCCCTGGCTCGTTTATTTATTGAAGAAGTCTAGATGTGTTGTGCAGGATTTAAGAAACCGGCCTTCAGCTCTGGCCGGTTTTGCTCAGTGGTTAGAGCGTCGGCCTGTGGACTGAAGGGTCACGGGTTCAATTCCAGCCAAAGACACGTACCTGGGTTGCAGGCTCAATCCTTGGCCCTGGTCGGGGTGTGTTCGGGAGGCAATCAATCAATGTGTCTCTCTCGCATCAATGTTTATCTCTCTCTCTCTCTCCCTTCTGCTCTCTCTAAAAACAATGGAGAAAATATCTTCAGATAAGGATAAAAAAGAAAGAAAGAAACTGGCCTTCAGTTGAACCCAGGTAAATCAGTCGTAGAAAGCAAGAGATCCGGTTCTCCAGCCTTTAGCACAAATGTGCGAGTGGGCTCCGGGGCTCTCTACGTTTTTAACAGCAACGTTAACTTTCCAGGGAACAGGCAGAGAGGGGGCTTCTGCTGTGAAGCATTTTTCTTCTCGTGCAAAGCCGGCAACTTCTCTGGAATGACCTGGTTCTTGAAGGACGAGGCGCTAGCTGAAGGGCAGGTCTGAAGGGCATGTCCCTTGAGAGGGCACGCTGCAGTTTTTGAACAGGCCACGGGCTCTGAGCGGTAACAAGCTCAGTGATATTTCAAATTCTCAAAGAGCCCACATTAATCCATTCTCTCATGTCTGGCGCTAGGAACCCACTAGAGGGGTCGCTTGTCCCGTTTAAAGGACAGTTGAGGGCACGCCTTCCAAACAGGGATGGGCCAGGGACAGTGGTAAGGACAGGGGACAAAGGAACTTGGAGGGCTGTGCCAGGGACAGAGGCTGGCTGACCACTCTTGGGGGTGCACTGATTACCTCCAATTCTCTTCTAGGCTTGGGTGTAGCGTTCTCTGTCTCTGTCTCTCTGTCTCTGTCTCTGTCCTCTCCCTTCCTCTCCCTCTCTCCCTCTCTCTCTCTCTCATTGTGGTAAGCTATATATAACAGAAAAATTTCCCTCTTAACCACGTGTGAGTGTACAGTTCGGTAGTGCTGAGCACATTCACGTCGGCGGGCCATAGATGTCCAGCTTGGCACCTTGCGAATCCGAAACTGTACCCGTTGAGCAGCGACTCCCCCTTGCCCCTGCCCAGCCCCCGGGACCGCCCTTCCACTTTCTGCTTCTGTGAAACCGACTCCTTTTGGTGCCTCCTGTGGGTAGAATCACCCCGGGCTTGTCGTGTTCACTCCCTTGCTCTCTTCATGAAGGCGGTGCCGGCTTGGTTAACNACGGGTTCAATTCCAGCCAAAGACACGTACCTGGGTTGCAGGCTCAATCCTTGGCCCTGGTCGGGGTGTGTTCGGGAGGCAATCAATCAATGTGTCTCTCTCGCATCAATGTTTATCTCTCTCTCTCTCTCCCTTCTGCTCTCTCTAAAAACAATGGAGAAAATATCTTCAGATAAGGATAAAAAAGAAAGAAAGAAACTGGCCTTCAGTTGAACCCAGGTAAATCAGTCGTAGAAAGCAAGAGATCCGGTTCTCCAGCCTTTAGCACAAATGTGCGAGTGGGCTCCGGGGCTCTCTACGTTTTTAACAGCAACGTTAACTTTCCAGGGAACAGGCAGAGAGGGGGCTTCTGCTGTGAAGCATTTTTCTTCTCGTGCAAAGCCGGCAACTTCTCTGGAATGACCTGGTTCTTGAAGGACGAGGCGCTAGCTGAAGGGCAGGTCTGAAGGGCATGTCCCTTGAGAGGGCACGCTGCAGTTTTTGAACAGGCCATGGGCTCTGAGCGGTAACAAGCTCAGTGATATTTCAAATTCTCAAAGAGCCCACATTAATCCATTCTCTCATGTCTGGCGCTAGGAACCCACTAGAGGGGTCGCTTGTCCCGTTTAAAGGACAGTTGAGGGCACGCCTTCCAAACAGGGATGGGCCAGGGACAGTGGTAAGGACAGGGGACAAAGGAACTTGGAGGGCTGTGCCAGGGACAGAGGCTGGCTGACCACTCTTGGGGGTGCACTGATTACCTCCAATTCTCTTCTAGGCTTGGGTGTAGCGTTCTCTGTCTCTGTCTCTCTGTCTCTGTCTCTGTCCTCTCCCTTCCTCTCCCTCTCTCCCTCTCTCTCTCTCTCATTGTGGTAAGCTATATATAACAGAAAAATTTCCCTCTTAACCACGTGTGAGTGTACAGTTCGGTAGTGCTGAGCACATTCACGTCGGCGGGCCATAGATGTCCAGCTTGGCACCTTGCGAATCCGAAACTGTACCCGTTGAGCAGCGACTCCCCCTTGCCCCTGCCCAGCCCCCGGGACCGCCCTTCCACTTTCTGCTTCTGTGAAACCGACTCCTTTTGGTGCCTCCTGTGGGTAGAATCACCCCGGGCTTGTCGTGTTCACTCCCTTGCTCTCTTCATGAAGGCGGTGCCGGCTTGGTTAACCTGGGGTTGGGACCCTAGTCGCCCCGTGGGTGATTACTGGGTCCCTGGTAACTGTTCAGAGGGGTGGCGGGAAGAGACAAAGCCCGGACCCGCCCTGCTGCCGAGTGACCCACGCCTTGGCGGTGTTGAAGTTTCCGCGCTCAGGACATGGTTGGCAGAGGCCTCTGTCCCCCACTCCATGCACCGCACAGGATGGCATGAAGCCCAGCTCACCGGGCCCCGTCTACCCCGTCCGCCCTCCACACGCACGGCGTCCGCAGGCCGAGCCCGTGGTGGCCACAGGCCGCTAGGTTGTGAGTGAAGGCAGGACTGGAGTCAGCCGTCCTACCCTGTAGCTATCGGGTCTTTTTATCTTTTTTTTATTCCTCTCCCAAGGATATTTTCCTCCCATTGATTTTTAGAGAGAGTGGGAGGGAGGGAGAGAGAAACATCAATGTGAGAGACACATCGATTAGTTGCCTCCCGCGCGATGCCTGACCAGGGGCGGGGATTGAACCGCAACCAAGGTACGTGCCCTTGACCAGGGATCGAACCCCAGACCCTTCGGTCCATGGGGTGACCCTCTAACCATTGAGCCAAACCGGCCAAGGCCGTCTTAAAGTTGGCAAATTGCTGAGCTCGACTGAGCAGCTGACTCAGTCAGCCTGGTGGAGGGTATCATAGACGTTGCTGGAGCCATTTTCCAGGTGACTCTATTTTCTACAATCAGGCATCGCTCACTTTCCAAAAGTTCGCATACTGTTTAAAATACTGAGTATTGCCCTAGCCGGTTGGCTCAGTGGTTAGAGCAAGGGCCCAGGGTTTGATCCCGGCCAAAGGCAGGTACCTCGGTTGCAGGCTCGGTCCCCATCCCTGAGTCAGGGCACGTGTGGGAGGCAGCCAGTCCATGTGCCTCTCACATCGATGTTTCTCTCTCTCTTTCCTTTCCACTCTCTCTGAAAAGTAATGGAAAAAATAACCTCTGGTGAGGGTTAAAAATAAAAATAATAATAATTTTAAAATGCTGAGTATTGAGCTTCAGCCCAGAGCAACTGAATAGAGGGACCTAGGCATTGCGATCTTGTAAAGATGCTGTGGATGGCCTGAGTTGCCATGAAGATTGGAGCCCACTGCCCAGGCGAGTGTGGGGTTTTAGCACAGGTCAGATCAGAGGATCGTAGAAGAGGCATGAGGGTGTTACCTGCCTGGTTCTTAACCTTGAGTGTGCATCAGAATCCCTCAGCCCTTGTCCAGGGAGGTTCTGAATCTGTGAGGCCCAGGAGCCTGCATCTTTAGCAAACAACAGCCACCCCACCCCTGCTTGAAGCCCAGTGGCTCCCTTGGCACCTAGAATAAATCCAGATTCCCGCTGTGGTCCTCACAGCCCCATGTGACTGGCCCCTGCTCATTTCTCCCACCTCTCCTGCCACATTCTGCCTGGCTCAGCCACCCGGTCCTCTTTCTGTACCTTGGACAGGACCCCAGGGCCCTTGCACAAGCTGCTTCCTCTGCCTGGGATGTCTAGAGATATTCCCATGGCTGTGGCTGGTTCCTTTTTGTCACTCAGCTCTACGTACAAATGTCATATCAAGCACAATCTTCACTGATTAGCTGTCCTAATATTGCCCCCTCCACTTAGTGATTTTATCTCATGATCTGGTTTTATTGTTTCATAGCCCGAGTTACTTGTTTTTATATTTGTTTACTTGTTTGTTTCCCTTCATTCTGTGAAGGCAAAGTCTTCATTTTGTCCCCTGTGGAATCGCCTGCATCTGGGACAGTGCCCAGCACATAGTAGCTGCTCAGAAAATATTTGTTGAATGAATGAGTGAATGAATGATGCCAGGGCTCTGTGGAGAGACCACTGAGGAATCAAGGTGGCGATGGTCGTTTCCTCAGGGTTGACATGGCCAACAGCCCACCAACCTGGCCACCAAGCAGAAGGTTGACCCCCAGCGGGAGGCCGACCTTCACCCAGGAGCCTGACCTCCTTGACATTGACCACGCTCTTCCTGTGCTTTCAGACTTCGAGCATCTGTAAGACCGCCGTGCACGCGGGAGTCCTCAGGAACGAGAGTGGGGGCTACGTGGATGTGATGCCTATTGATAAAAAGAAGACATACGTGGGCTCACTCAGGAACGGCGTCCAGTCTGAAAGGTAGGGATGCGTTCTCCAACTCTCGGCACCCAAGGCCAGCAGGGATGGCCCCAGGGGGGCCTGGCGGGAGGGCCCAAGACGGTGCCCTTTAAAATGAAACCTGGGCAGGCTGCGTTAATTCTTACCAGAACACCCAGAAGAAGCCTGTTCTCTCCTCTTCCTTTCTCTCTTCAAAGTAAGAAAGTTTTTCTTTCTATTACTACTGCATGATTTCTTAGAAAATTTAGAAACATCAGAGTCCATAGAAAAACAATCATCGCCTGTCAACTGGGGGCGTTACAGTGCCTCTGGTCCCTTTTCTATGCATGTGTGTGTGTCCCTGCCTCCCCCTGCCCCACAAAACAGTGGGATCAAACTCTAGTGACACAGGGGTTATGTATGGATCCAAAATAATGTAGTTACATATTGTAACATAAATGAAAGCGGAGAGTCTGGAGACTCTGTTTCTTACCAGTTTTGTGACCTTGAACAAGCCGCTTGATTTCTTTGAGTCTTGGTTTTCTCACCTGTGACATGGGGATAGCAATAGTCTCTACCTCATAGGGTTGTTGGGGGGATTAATTGAGATGATGCCCGGCTCTTTCTATAAGGACACCAGTCATATTGGGTCAGGGCCCACCCTAATGACCTCACTTTAATTTAATTATGTCTTTAGAGGCCCTATCTCCAAGTCCAGTCCCATTCTGAGGGTTCTGGGAGTTGGGACTTCAGTATGTGAACTGGGGAGGGGGCACAATTCAGCCCATAACAGAGGGAAATGCTGAAGACTTTACATTTGAGGGGCCCTCTTTAGAAAAGGCGTATAAATCAAAAACATAAGACAGGCCAAGGCCCCTTGAAGCTTAAGCCCTCAAGCTCCACGGAGCCTGGCGCAGGCCCGCACCCTCCTGGAGCGCCCTGAGCCCCGCACGGTGCTGTACGTGAAGACCTTGCAGAATCTAATGACTCACGCATTTCTTCCCAGGGGCCCCGGCACGTCACTGCCATCAGCCCCGGAACAGCTAGAGCTAGCTGCTCATGCAATTTCTTCCTCAACATTTGCAACCTTTGTTTGGGAAAAGCCTAATGAAGGGAAATTCCGTTGATTTAATGGGAGGGAAATGAAGCAGCTGATGAGATGGAATTTCCTGGCCGGGCTGGGAAGAAATCCCAGGACACCAGTCTATTGCGCTCTGTAAGAGAAACAGTTGTGGTAGGTCGGCCTTTGTTCTCTGCCTGTCCTGTCCTGCGGACGCCAAAGCGGCTCCCCGGGCTGTGACAAGGGCTTATGATGCAGCCTCCACAGGTGGGTGTTGGGGGAGGGCAGGGGACCAAAAGGAGGTTTTCCCCATGTTTAGATGGGACCTCAGCAACTCTCGTCACAGAGCCCAGGGCTGAGAAATTCCCCCGGAGCCTGTTCCCATTAGGGATTGTGGGAATCATTCTGGGGCCAGAGAGTGGCTCTGTCCCCGATGTCTGCTGGGACCCTAGAGTGGTCACAGCCGGCCTCAAGGGAGATGTGGACACTGGCCATAGGCAACCAACCCATTTACAGCAAACTGCTTTCTAAATATAGGGAATCTTTCAGTCAAACCAACCAACCAAAGTCTCCTTAGCAGAATTGTGGGCACACGGCCAGAAGTTGGTTCTGCTTCAGAGTGATGTTGGTTTAGGCAATGGCTTTTTTCTAGAAGAGGATTTCCTGAAAGTTTTGAAAGGTGATCATGCAGAATTGGGACAGCGTAAGGGGACAGGCACCTTCTCTCTCTCACGCGTGCCCTGGAGTATAGCAGAGGAAGGAAAGGGCATCGGGAAGAGCTTTTGATGTTGGGACAGGCCTGTGTGCAAATATTCTCAGGAAGAAGATGGATATCTGGATGAATATCAGTTCAGGACTTTTTCTTAGACCAGAACCACTTTTTAAGACAGATTTCACAAGGAGATTGGGAAGTATACCGACAATGACATGGACAACTCCTCAGTTCCTCCCAGGACAGATCACCCTGCTCCTGGAACTGCCAGCTGCCCTCTGGCTTTAGTCCAGTCTGTGCTGTGTGGTGCCAGATGGCCATCAGTCCTCCCTGGGTACTTTTCACTGGTGGGGGGAGCCCTAGCTTTGCAGCTCCTCATGGACCTGCAGGCCCTGCCTCCAGAGGGGTTCCCACTGTGATCTGGGTTAGCCAATGCCATCTTCAGGGATGGCATGGCCACAGCCCATCCATGTAGGATAATGTTTAGAAAGGGGTCCCAGAGCCTCGAAAGACCTGAGTCCACATCCCAGCTGCGCCTGGTACAGGTGTTCCATTTGGGGCAAATTGTGGCCCCTCTCAGAGCCTTGGTTCCCTCTGTAGTGGGAAAAACCTTAGCGATCCCCTGGGGTTACTGCAAGGAATGGATGGGTGAGGTGACATCCTAAAGGACCGAGGCAGCGTCTGCTGTAGTGAGCGTGTGTGCTGGGCAGACAGCTGGCACGGGGTGAGTGTTAGCTCCTGGGGCAGGGCGAGCGGCCATCAGAAGGCTGGGAATCATTAACCAGGGCTGAGATGGGGACACCACCTGAGGCTACAGACACATTTCCCAGAGCACCCTTGTCACAGCTCGTCAGGGAGATCAGAGGATCCTCATGAACTGAGTCAATCAAAGGGAACTTCCCAGAGCTTCCCAGGCCAACTCAGTTCCTCTCAAGCTCTACGGGGAATTGTGTTGGTCCCCC